GTTTATGTGTCATGACAAAACAAGTAGACACTAAATAAAATATAAAGTATATCCACGAAATCATGTACGATGTCTTGAGTAGTTATTCCACATTTGTGTAGCAATTTGATTCCTGACTTTTCCAATTTTAGCTGTTTGACTAGCATCAAAATATATGACTTCTTGATCTTAACTTGACTCTGGTATGTCTTGAAACACTATAATCTCCTCTGAATACTCTACGAATAACTTATCTAAAGCGTGCTCTTGACGATTGAAGTTATTTATTGCACAACATGCAGTAGGGATTTGTCTTTGCCTACTAAGTTGATAATTGGTAATGAACTTCAAAATTGAAAATCTTGCTTTTAAAACTCCAATGCAACGTTCAATAATGTTAAGGCACGAGGAGTGTCTATAGTTGAACAATTCTTCCTTTCCACGTAGTCTTCCTCGTCTAATATAGTCACGTAGATAATATTTTTGACCTCGATAAGGGGTAAGAAATCTAGGCATGTTTGGATATCCAAAATCAACAAGGTAAAATTGATCTGAAAAATAAAAAAAGGCTTACATAGTGAGACATTGTAAATATATTTGGAATAATTATTTAAAGTATAAGAATATACCTCCTCGTGGCATTAGAAAGTTGTTTGACCTTCTTGTAACTGTGTCGACGAATACTCATGAATCATTAGCAGTACCTTCCCAGTCGTCATATAAAAATGTGAATTTCATATCAAAATCGCATGTCAACATCACATTTTCTTGTTACATTAGTTTTCCTTTCTCGAAAAGATGTTTGTCTTGATGCAGAAGCTCAAGCTGCAACATGTGTTCCATCTATTGTTCCTATACAATCCTTAAAGAGAGGATATTTGTGCAAAATCAGCTCATGCACAATGTCTTGATTTGTCGAACGATTATCTCAATGCCAAATGAACAAACATCGCTTACAACTCGTTTAAAACATTTACGTATTGTGTTGTTGGAATGCTGAAACTTATCACCAATAACAACACTGTATCGTGTAGTGTGCCCTACAACCATCAAAAACATAGCAACACCATCCTCGACACTCACTTTTTTCCCATCTTTCAACAACCCTTTCTCTTTCAAAATATTACAAAAATTCATGAAAACGTGTTTCTACATACAAAAATTACGATAGTACATGTACGAATGTCCATTCATAATTTCTAGAATGTACATTTTCCTGTAAGTAATGATGTTCTACAAGATCTCCTACCAATGGTACTTGCTTTGTTGGCAACTAAGTAATTAAGCATTAAATCACCAAAAATTGCGTCAAAATATCCATATATAACAAATCATCATCACTCGAATCTTCATCAATGGAATCATCGATACTCACATTATCATCCACATTTGATTGACCAATCATACTGTGAACAAAATATAACCCAAATAATTATCATAAGTCATGTCAACCACCATTCTTTCGAATAAAACAAGCAATCAAGCATTTAGAAACTCAAGAAAAATTAACATCAATTATCCGACGTTCAACATCACTATGTTCGTAAATGAAAATAGTACAACATTACCACAATACTAGAGAAATTTAAACAATACAAAGTAGTTCCAAGATAGTTCAAAACAACACAAAGTAGTCACAAATTAAAACAACACAATATTGAAGAAATTAACACCACAGTCACATCAAAGTAGTTCCAAGATAGGTCATCTCCTTGCTTTTGGCATCTTTACAAATGACACCCTAAAATTGAGATCCTTAAAAGCCTTTATTGCTTTCATATAAACCTCGTTGGACACCCCTTCCATATTGTTTAAGATGTCCAAGCAAATAATATTTGAATAAGGATCCGGACTATTTACTTCACTATTCGATTGATTACTTGATTTTTCCTTGGATCTTTGCAAACTTTTCTTTTAAGTAAAGTGTTCTAAGTTCAATTTCTTCATTCCTCGAACTAATTGTAGATGACCAATGTGCCATGCAAGCCTCGAGTTTATCACTTTTACCGATCTTAGGTTCCTTACGTCGTCGTTCACCTGATATACCAATTTTTTTACGTCGACGAATATTTGAAACCACATCGACTTCATCATCATTTTCTGCACGTGTATTCACTCCCCTATTCAAAAAATCATCTTCTAGCTGTCATTCTTCCTCTGATGTGTTTGGAAGCTGAGTAGAGGCACTGTCTAATCCTCCAGTAGTTGTAGTAGCTCTCTTGCAAGTCCGGGTTGGTATCCATTTTTCTTGTTCGGATAGCTTGACAGTGAGGTAAGAGCATGGTCTAATAATTTATCCAAAAATTTCTACAATAAATTGAGTAGGTTGCTAGTATAGTTCCCTATCCACGATTCTGCTATGGGAAATCTTCTCTTTCTTACATCTCCAATGGTACTTGAAATTTCGTTGACTAACTATAAGATTTAGAGAACCAGAACTGCATAAATCATATCAGGATCAGAGCCAGTACCAAGCATGATATCGGGACGATCAAGTAGCGATGACTTATGGTTGACTTTCTTGGTTATGTAATGTGAAAGTAGTTTTGTTAACCAAAAATACAACCATGTCAAAGATATCTAACCTTCCTTCCTTATGAGTGGAAATCCAATCCTGTTTCCCGCTAAATATCTCTCCAAGAGCGTGGTAGTGCTTACATCCTTCCCTCTTAAACAACTTGTAATCCGACTTGTTAATCTAACATTGAAAAAAGAAGTCACATTGTCAAATTTTAAAAAAAACAGAACAAAATTGTAAAATTGATAAGACAAAAAATAAGGACGAAAATATTCTTTTGAAATTAAAAGTACCGTATAAAAGTGTTGCCAAACTTCCTCTACAACATTAATGTTGTTAGTATTTGGATCCCGTGTAACACCTATATATCCCAAAAGTTCAGAGAACATGCGATGAATCTTACGCAAGCGGTTCTAGTTTCCCTTCAATCTATCTATGGCGTAATCCATTTTTGTTGAAGCTATCATGGTTTCATTGATCCTGCCCCATTCGTCTTTTGTGAATATAGAACATTGCAATGCGTTTGATTACACTCTCTCGTAAAGAATTTTGATAAAAGCTTGTTCATTCTCATCTGACCATGACGCTGGTTCCTTATTCCTTACTCTGTGACCACCTATGTTGAAGCTATATTGATATAAATCAAATTATCATCAAATAATGCGTTTAATTTTAGTCAAATACCACCAATTGCTCAGAAGTCTTCAAGTGAAATGTCAAATCGCAAAAGCATACCAAACTTACTAGAAAACTACTTGATTAGGCGGTACTGTTCTAAAAAATCCATGCAGAAATGATACATACCAATGATACCATACCAGAAACTTACTTAGGAGGTACTGTTCTCTTTAATTTTCTAGTTCTTTTATTTTTTTTCTTGTTTAGCACGTAGGTAAAAGCTGCTTCTATTTTCTTTTCTTGTTGAGAGGGGAGGGGCAAGGTTCAACTCCTTGTATAGTAAGGTATATATGGAAAGGATTTTAAGGCACTCATTTGATGTTTTCCAGGTATATCACCTCTTATTCTTCAAAATAACTTGCTAGATTAGAATATTAACATTAAATAGATCTCATTCTAATTTTACTCAAAATAATTTAACCTCCATTAAGAACACTAAAACAGTGTATTCAATGAAACCCCAGATCGAGAAGACCACGAAAAACAAGGACTAAAAGAAGGCACTAAAAGTATAAAGGGAACTTACACTAAAGCAAACTGAGAGAACATGAATATAATAAATGATTGACCAAATTTCACAACTACTCCAATTACTTGGCCACCTTTGATGTACTATATCAAATTCCAATGGCTATTTTTACCTTTTTTCTTACTCTTCTAACGTGCATTGTGCATCTATGCTGTGGACAAAAACTGTTTTGAAAACAAACAACCAACTTTAACAAATTCCATCTTGTAGTCTCTGTCGTCCCATGTAGAAAGTTACAAACGATAAGAAAAAGGAGTCCAACCATGTCATTCAAAAGTTTCTTATTTTTTAGTTTCTAGAATTTCGACAATGCTATAACGCCTAAAAACTAAAATGGCACCTAAAGCAAACTTAGCCCTGATTTTACTTTATCATGAACCAGAAAAAAATTAATAGTATTAGGTAACCAATAAATTTTACCCGAACAATACTAGTTTGAAGCAACAATAATTAATTCCCCCCAACAATCCTTAAAAAATTATTATAATGAAAAAATGCCTGAACAAAGAGACACAATGGAAAAGAAGACATTTCTA